ATATATATATATATATATAGTTGTGAGTGTGTGTGCACACGCGTGCAGTGGTTTATTAGTATAGCAGTCTTTCTGAAGGTCGTGAGTTCGCTTAGTTCACGAGTTAGAATCTCCCCGTGTGTAAGGTATGGTACTCGAATATTTAGCACACCTAGGGATGACCGGGGCTCGTCTAATAGCCTTCGGTCAGATTAAAATGCTACTTTTGAGGTTAGATGCTAAGCAAGAAAAAAAAAAATCTGGAACTTTACGGTTAGATTAAAATGTTAGACATATAAATACAATGCTAATTTAGCAAAATTGAAATTACTCGCATGATTTCAAGTGCTTAAACATGTAAAGAAATAACTGATTGTAAAATTTTCTATATAAAATATTAAGTTCTAAGTGTTATGCAAGAATATGCATGAGAAAATCAAGAAATCCTGCACATATATATTTAAATTTATTATCTACGCAAATGTAAATGAAAAATCAGAAAATATGCACATGTATAATTAAATTCAAGTGTTAAACATGTAGACACTTAAACTAGTGGGACAGCAAAATTATATATGTCAAAATATTTTATAACGTGGACATACCTGCTCAGGAGTTTTCTCATGATAGCGGCTTTGTGAAAATCCTTGAGCAAGTAATTCTTTCACCCTTCCCCCACTGTATAATTCAGAAAGGCATCCATGGGCTTCAGAAATTAAGCCTGCACGGAAAGCACAAAGGCCAAGTTGTGCCATTACCCTGTTAAATAAAATCTGAGAAGATATATCCATAAGTTGAATTCCTTCTTGCAGGTGACTCATCAACAATAGATCACGAGCAACATAGAACTCATCAAATATGGCATGGTTGTAAACATCACAAAGCATTGCCCTAGCCTTAGTCCTCTCATCCCCATATTTATATATGAGAGACACCAAAGAATCCAGAAGTGTCCTGCTGCTTTCTGGAAATGTAGGCCTCCTAGGAACCAGCTCAGAAATAACAACAAATGAAGGTGGGCCTTTATGTTCCTCAATTGCTAGGGGCTCATCAACTCCATCTCCCTCAGAAACACCATCAGCAACCTCATCTTGTTCTGCCAGCTTTCTCATAGCATCATATACCTCCTGAGGCTTGTAATACACAAGTTCAACCCGTCGCAATGCCACTTTTGAGGCTGCCTTAAAATCCCCAACCTTTTCAAGATAATCCTGAACATTCTGTGCCACTACAAAGAACAATGGTTCGTCCCTAAGCCTCTCAATATACTCTCTTGTGTGTGGGTCAGTACACTGCAAGCTCTTAAAAAATTCTGAATCCAGCCTCTCAAGAAAAGCAACCAAGCTACCCCATACACGTATTGTACCCTTGTGGTTCACACCCTTCTCAGTCTCACGCTCCTCGGGCTCGATTGTGTCATCAACAACAATATTAGGATACTTCTCAAGGATGTCCAAAACAAGAAGTAAATTCACAACACATTTTTTCCACACATTGATTGGCATATGTCCAAGCAAGCTTGGGTTTACATCAAATTGTGCTGATATCACACTAAAAAGAATCTCAAGCTTCTGAGCAGGGGTCTTGGCAACTCGTGTCAGGAAAGTGAGTTGTTCAACTTGCTCAACCCTTCCAGTCCCCTTCCTGCCCCTAGCTGCAACAATCTCCTTAAATTTTTTGTCAACAACATCCCAAGTAATCTCACTTGGATCCTTCATGAAATGCTTGTCCATAAGCTTATCCTTCCTGCTCATCTTCTTCTCCCAAGCTCCATCTCCCTCAGTCTGCTCATCTGCATCTTCTGCATCCTCATCCTCATCCTCTATATCAGACATATCAATCTTTGATGGATCCTCCTCAACCTCTGACCCCGAATCATCCTCGTCCTCCTCTTCCTCATCCTCCACACCCTCATCTTCAATTTCAGGCTTCTCCCGGTACTTTGTTATCAGCTCCTCATACAGCTTGTTGTTCTTCTTCAGCTTTTGCTTCATGGAATTAAGTGCCTTTGCATTGCTGCTGCTCATCTTCTTCTTTGCATCCTTGTTGGCCAGAGCTTGTGCAAGGAAATCCTCCAGCATAACAAGGGCCTTGATGTAGATATTGGGTACTTTCTCAGACTCAGTGATACGAACAACCTTTTCAAGCTGCTTGTTGATCTTCTCAAAATTCTCCTGCAGGCTTACCCAGTCATTGATCTTCATGGCGTTCTTCATCTGCTCGACTGTGGCCGCCATCTCATCAAAACGCTTGTCACGCACCGATTTGATGACCCGGTGCTGGCCATCAGAATCATCAGAGTCGCTCGCATTTTCACGGAGGTAACGATTAGCACCCCCTGCGGGCACACTGGCACCACCCCCAGCATCACTGCCATCACCAAACTCGCTTTGCTCGTCCTCCTCCTCCTCGGAATCACTGTCACCACCCTGGACAGATGAAAACAAAGGAGAAAAAGAAAGATTGAGGACTTAAAAAAAGAGCAACATTATCGGCACAATCAGCAACCAAAGATGTACTATATGTTGCAGTTAACAAGAGTTTGGAGAATAAACCTGAGTCCAAAATCGAGATGTCATTTTCACTTGTAGTTCTCTCTAGTTGAATTGGCAAAAATTCTGGAATAACAAATCAATTATATTAGGGTTAAGTAAAACGTCTAGGGGTTGTCTGGCAACGGATTCAGACCAGACGGTCAGTTTGGACAACATAAATCAGTGTATATAGTAAATCCGGAACGAGCGAAGAGGAGGAATGGCGGGAACAGGCTCACCTTGCTCAATGGTTTCTGGTAGGAGCGGAGCGGGAGGATGAGAAAAATGGGAATTTCGGTGGTCTCTGTTTACCGCGATCCCGTCGTTGCCTTCCCAGCTAGCTCTAATGGCGACTGTATTGCGAGGGTTCGTTCACAATGGCGATGGTTTTGGGCGAAACCGGGAGGGCGAGGGGGACGAAATCGGAAATGTAGGCGAGGGATTCGGCTGCGGAGACGGTTAGGGGAAGATAGGTTTACGGTTTTTAATGTGTGTTTATTTAATTTAATTATTCATTTAATTAATTAATAATTACTTTATATATTATTAAATTTATTAGTCAGATAAATTTATATATAATTAATTAGTAATATTTTTATTTTTTAATAAAATTCTAAATACTTTTTAATTAAAATAGTTAATATATGATTGATTGATGTTTAAATTATTATTTAATAAGTATGTATGTTAAAATTAATTTATTGACAATTAATAAGTTTAGTGAATAATTAATCATTAATTAATATAATTAGAAATTTAAAATTAAAAAATTAAGGTTTATCATAACAATAAAATAATTATAATTTAATTATAAATTTACTAACAAATATAATCACCTTTTAAATTCTTATAAGAGTTGTCAAATAGCTTTATAGGATTTAACTTAATATATTAAATCAGTTGTAAAATAACTTTTGAAATTTCTCTTCAAGATTTACTAAATCCTACTAACTTAAATATAATTCATTGTCATACAGGCCCTAAAGTTTTTCAATTTAGCAATAATGGATTTAAGTGAAGAGAGCGGAGTAGAGTGGATATCAGTAGGGTTGGAGCCGGGCAAGGTCCAGAGGTGCAATTGTCCCCCTTAATTCAAATTTTTTACTTATAATGGAAGGGTAATTTAATTTTTTATCCCTTAAGAAATATCTATTTTGCTTCTAACTTTGTGCTTCATTGCTCTAGTCCCTCCCACGTTGAGTCTAGGGAAACAATTTGACTCTCTAGAAAGAGAGGCTAGTCTCGCCCCTGGATATCAGGCAATTTATAATATTATCTCGACCATGGAGGAGTTTAGGATATGCATGATAAGAGTGTAGATATATGTTACACTAGAACACATTCGAGGTTTTGATAAGGATTAAAGGCTTATTTATTTACGATTTTAATTTCCTATAATGATAATAATAATAATAAATAAATAAATAAAATAAACTTAAAAGGGGTATCTCGATTCATAAAATAATAACCATCACAACAATTTCGTATTTAGGAGGCAAGCACCTCATTTCAAACAAGAGTAGAAGAAATAAGAAGTTTAAAAGAGAACAGAGAGCGAGGACAAAGAAAAGACGAGGTGATCAAAATCCATGGTTGTTCCAACACATGAGAAACTGATGACGAAAAGAAGACGGGCCTCAAGTGCTTGTAGTAAAGAGATCGGTGTCACATGACAAACCAAATCAAGTAGACGATCGAGTTTGGGTTTGCATACATGCATTGTGTGGAATCAAACCAAGATGAAAAATGAGGGCTCAACGGGAGTTTCACTCGTATCGAACGAGGAAGGTGTTAGAATAGATGAAGATTGGTGATTACACGCATACATGCAATCAAAACCAAAAGAAATATTGTGCGACAAGAAGGCTGAGAGGGCGTGAGCATCCTATACAAATGAAAGATAAAAATATCGAGCCCACATGTAAGAAGTGCGACTAAACCGGGTTAGTAAGTAGGGTTTTATGTTTTAAATTAATAATTTTTTTTCCACTGAAAGTTTTATGTTAATATTAATATAAAGAATTAAATCAAGGAATTGAAGACCATCATATCCAAAAAAAATTTGTGCATTTAAATAATATTTTTTTTTAAAATAGGAAGAAATAACTCATAAATTAGAAGTCTTGATTAGAGGTGGTCAATATATATAAGAGATGTAACTAAGGAAAGAGCAACCAAGAAAACTTATCGCAAGTATGTTAGCGTTTAAGGTTATATAAATTTGTGTTTATATTAATTGAATTATAATTAAACATAAGTTTGTAAATAATTGAATTATAAAAACTTATTTATAATTAAACATAAATTTACATACAGGATGATGAAAATTTGTTGTTGGCGTATCAACTATGATTTATATGCTCTATATATTAGAAATACTAATATCATCCATTATTTAAATAGAAATGAATACAAGGAATATAAAAATGATATGAATTGTATCGACTAATTGTACGTGCATGTTAGATTATACATGGAGTTCACCCATTTAAGGTACTAACAAGAGAATATTGAGATAATCATATAGATAAAAAAAATATTGATATTAATATGTCTTCACGATACTATTTCATACTGTGTTTCTATAACGGATGTACAAATATAAAATGATATATACATGCCTTTGGTATAACAAAATGCATTGATTGTTACGAACTATCCTGAATAGTCGCATTTGACATATATGTATGTATGTATGTATGTATGTATATATATATATATA